TTATTACATTGCAAGGCTCAAGATGGCAAGCATTGTTTGTTCTGTAAAATCCATGACAGCTGATTGTACACTCATTGTCCGTTGATGGTTTTGTAAATGAAAGAGTAGTATCAAAAGACTAAATGATATTAATTTGTTGAAAGTTTTTGTTTGGTCCATTTTGCCCCTAATACAGTTATACTAATACAGTGTACTACTTAGAACTTACGAACTTCACTGAGATCTCGATGCAGATTTAGTGGTGTCTTTAAAAAGTTATCTTTCTGTTGTCTGGTTGTTTGTTTTCAATAATGTCAGATTCTCATTTAAACGGCTTTTATTACATGTCTGCTTTCAGTGTTACGTGCATAGGTGACATCTTTCGACCATCTTTGGACATGCCATCTATTGACATGCTATGTAAATGGCTGAAAGACCGTTTGACTGTCAAACTGGCAATTTTTCCAGTTATTAGTGGAAGAAATGACAAATGAATGGTAATTACTGACCTCAAATGGCTGAAGAAGATTATGCGCCTAGCATGTTTCCTGATTTATGGGATAATTCAAATGATGATCAGCTCTCAGTAGAACTGGGCCACTACTGTTTTTGATATTTGAAAGATGTAGATATTCAAAACAGTCAGAATGACTTCTTGATACTCCTAGCGTTATTCTGATGTCAAATAAATCTATCTTTCATGACTAAAAGTCGAGTTGTGTTGAGTCTGTTGTGCTTACATTTTTGACATGTATAGGCCAGGTTACATAGCATGTTGAGAGATGGCACGTCAAAAGATGGCATGTTGAAAGATGGTCGAAAGATGTCCCCTATGCATGTAACATTGTTCAAAAGTGGTTGTAAATCAATGCTAATTTGATGTGGTTTGTGGAATGTCAAAGTGAAGAAACCACAATCAATGCTGGGTTATGAGGCGGGCCTCCCCTGTGAAAGAGTCAGGGATACACAAGAAACTAGTTTGAACATGCATGGTCCAAGCTTTATTTGACCCCTGATGGGTTTAGAACACCAACGCAGGATGACAGGATTTTTCAGTTTTTTTGCGTGCAGCTCTGAACAATGCCTCGATGGCTTAAAATGTTGGCTTACCACCCTGAACACCCTAATTGATATCAACGATTTACATCCCTAAGCAAGAAGAGGAGCATCCTCGACCCTTTCATGTGCATGAGATGTCCTCTTGGAGAGGATCATTGAACTAGTCAGTCAGCTACACACTTGGTAGAAATGAAGATATTCACCTCCAGTCAATGGATTTTGCAATACATGTATTTCCTGTTAAAAATATTACTAGTTAACACAATATAATGTAGATTTAGAAGAAATGACAAACTAAATTACCTGGCCAGGTGCAGAGTGGCCAGTGATGGTTTGGAAGAAAGGCCCAGATACACTATCCACATTTGATCGTGTAGTTGATCGAGCTCTGCCTGTCAATTGCTCTACATGAAGAACAGAAAGATTTTCATTACATTCATCTGTAGTTTATGGAAAGTTTATCCAGTGGTTGGTACACTGATTGTGAACAATCAACCATAGACAGACGATCGCCTGCTGTCTCAGTTCAGGGCAATGCGAACAATATCAGTGACAGACCATGGACCAGTAGCAGTTATTGTAGATCTTTCAAAAAGAAAACCGTTTATGAATGTAAAGTATTGCTTATTTTGTCTGGAATGTAGAGACCAAAAACTAGTGGACACCACATTAAATATGCCAATTAAGAAAAAGAAAACGGAGTTGAAATGTCAATGGATTATTAGATTGAACTGGACAAATGACATGCAAACTTGGATGCATAAATATGTGTTCTCAAATGTTGACGATTGTTGAACGTTTGGAACGTAGAAACTGGGGCCTTAAAGGGTGCAGTTTATTTCAGAGTATATATTAGTGCACAGCCCACTGTACCTCGTCTGACGTCATGTTTTTGGTAATGAGGCCACTGTTCAAATACTGCTGGTTCTTGGAGAATGTTGTTGACAACAGAAGCTGCCATGACACTAGCAAAAGGCTTCCAGTTTTCAGTTGAAGAAGCAGTACCATCTGCATAGTCAGAGATGCCCTTAATGATGACCCACTCCATCTTAAGATCATGGGCAGCACTAAAGACGCCTGTGAAAAGGAACAAATACCGCAGAACATGTAGTCCCCATAAATAAACCCCAGTGACTTTCCAAATACAATTGGACCCTGCTAAATTGAACTTGGTTATTTCAAACTCACTCCTGTTTGGAACTGATTTCTGTCTCCCTTGGCCTAAAATAAACCCTGTTTATTTCAAACTCCATTGGTAGAGTTGAAAAATTCATTTCACTTTAATCTTGTACTGTAAAGAACTTTTTTGTCAGGTGTTCTCTTCAAGATTGCTCTTGCTCAATAAAAAGATACATTCCATCATGTAGATTACATATTAATAATTATTATTCAACTCTGCTTTGTAGAGTACAAATAATGCATGAAACGAGTACAAATATCACATGATATTTGTCTCGTCAAAATACGGCACAACTCATAAAAATATACAGCGATACTACACACCAAAATGTCTAATAAGATATATGTATTACTTGTTATTTTCAAATCTAACGCTGACCCGGTTATTTTGAATTCTAGGTATTTCTTTTCCCTCCAGAGTTTGAAAATTCATTTTAAATTCTCTTCACCTTCTCTAGCTTATAATAATTTATAGTTAATAAATTTTTTTTACAACTTTTATAGCCTATTGTTTCCTTAGAGATATTTGAGTAGTTTTAAGTACATATTAATATATGTCATTTTAGACTTCTTCCCAACTTGAAAATGACCTTTGATTGGCCAAAATGTCGTTCTTTTATAGCGTTAGTTTTTTATCATGAAAACAATTTCAAATAACTTATTGATTCAAGTTTGAAATAGCGGGGTTCAATTGCAGTAAGTCTCCAAAGTACCCCCAGCATGAACATCCTCCAATAATACATGTACTCCCCAACTATGAAATATAAACCCAGGGATTGAACTACTAGTATTTTACAGTGTTTTTTTTTGCTATAATTTTAGTCTCCTACCAAACACTTTAGCTAGTTTGGTATTTATTTTTTATGTTCATTTGACTAATCTGGCAACTGAATGTTAACCTTCTTTACTTGTTGTATATCTTTTATTTTCTTTATATGGTTGTGTTTTTGATTATGGCAAGTTGAGGATACTGAAGATGTCATTTTCTGCTATTTCACAGTTGTTTTTGCAAATTTACATGTATGTAATAAAAGAGCAGTATATGGTGGCTCGAAGATATGAATTTTATTTTCACATGTTAAAAACTACAATATTTTACTCAATTGCTGTGCTTGTTCGTAAAATATATTGTTGTTACCACTTGAAAATAACATTCATATCTTCAAATATGGGCAGCTGCTGCAAAGGTGGTCCAGTTCTCTGTCACGCAATGCTGAAAGGGTAGTGTCATGTGACAGAGAGGGGCCAGAAGTGGATTAGTTCCAAAGGCAGTTCTGACCATTCTAGAATGATTCGACAAGCCTATCCACTACCTGTAGGGTTTACAATGCAACATAAATAATAAGCGCACCTCTCGTTTAAAATACAATTTGGACATTACATTGCCCCCTTTCCCTTGCCCTGGGAAAAAATCCCTCCCTTCCATCCAATAATCTGAGAAATAAACTTTCTTCTGGTAACAAGTCCATCCCTCCCCAAACATAAGCTGAGAAGACTGGTGAGTAGCACAATAGCAACAAGCTATTGCAGTGAGTTTCTGGCAGTCTTTTAGCATCTTTTAACAACATGTGTGTCCAATCCATTCGCAAGCAAGAAGCAGATGGAAGTAAGTGTGGAACATTTCTAAAAATTGTTTGAATATGATGGCCGACAAGAATATGTAGTGGTGATTTGTATCAGTATCAGTGTGGAAATAGTGTTGATCTGGAATTAGTCTCATATCTATTGCGAAAAACAAATTTATTTAGATAAGCAAGGTTAACCTTTGTACATTGAAAGTGGGAGGTGTTACTGTCAATGTACAGGTAGCTGCCACTGATGGAGATCCTGTTCTCTTTGACATTTCCTATCTTGTTCAGTATCTACTAGACATAAAGGCCAAATTTATACCTCCGGCAAATTGTAGATCACTTTTTAAACAAAATAGCTATTACCAACAAGCTTATTTTAGTCGCTCTCTGGGTGTTGAGAATCAAATTACGATGCATGTTATTTAGATTCTCATAATCATAGCCCTCACTAGAAAAAAACGGTTGCAGAAATTTCGACAGACAGCTAGGGAAATCTTGTTTCAAGAAAGGTTAGGTTTGAGGCCCTTTTTACTGGGCCTCTTAATTTTTACTGGCAAAAGAGCACTATGCAACGTATCTTTCGCGTATTTGAAGAACCTGTATTCTTTTTCTGATTTCCGGATTCCGGATAATTTCCAGAGTCCGGAGTCCGGAGTCCGGAGTCCGGAGTCCATATTTCGTTGGCTAACATCATGCGTGTAGTTTTGACGTGAGTTTCTGGACAACACTAAACAATCGAATGAAACTGCGATTACCATACCTTGCCCATCCATTTCAACTGCTATCGCGTTAGGATATAATTCAACGAGCTCTTCTCGTCGCGTGTTCGAGTCAATTTCCTCTGGTCCACTCAAAAATTCACCACTGCAATGGACGTTCACTTTTCTCGCTTCCGTGTTCTTTAACGGGGCTACCCAACCATCAGCGGCGTGTCTGATTAAACCAGCAATATCTCTTCCTACTGGTGCAGATAAGCCACGAGGCTGGACTCCAGTATCTGTGACAGTTTTGTCGGCATACGTAGTCAACTTTGAAGAAACCACTACATCTCCTAACTTCAGTTTGGTTTTTTCGCGATTCAAAGCTCCGCAACATCCGACACAAAACACAGCTTTCGGCAGCAATATTTCTACGGCATTTTTCACCTTAATCAGTGTTCCTCCGGGTTGTGTGGCGCCCTCTGAACACGTAATTAACACGATTTGTAGCGGTTTCGTGCCTTCTCGTTGGCCCATCTCCCCGAAATACATATAGCCAAGCTCTTTCAAATAACTTCGAAACGGTTTTCTCAGAAAGAAGTAACAGGCCAGAAACTCGCAGTCTTTCACCGTCAATAGAAGAATATCTATTGGAAGCTCGAAATCCCCCCAGTGCATGAAAGCTGTTGAAAGATTTCGTTTTTCTGGAATAGTAATACTAAGCTCTGGTGGCTCCAGTTCATTAGCTGACAACATGGTGAATTTGCTGTACATCGCAAAAGAACGATCGATATTTGCGTAGGAGCAACAGGTCAAATTTAATTGAGAAGCGAAAATTTCCCTTAAACGTCACTTCCGATTTCTTTGTTTCCTTCTAGCCACAGTTCCATAACATACTATTAAAACAAGATAATGCGAAGGAAATCAAGAAAAGAGGGGGGTGAATAGGTTTTCGGATCGACGGATTTGGCCTTAAAAAACGCACGGATTTTTGCGTTAAATCGGGAGGATTCGCGGGTTTTGAGAACACAGTGGATCGTGGAATAGCTGTGGATTTTCGCGCGGAATCCAGATTGTACTTGTCTTGACATTCGGATCTTGGGTCCTAAACGAGATTTGGATCGTAGATCTTTCTTCGAGGGTTGTACAGGGATATTTTCGTGATGCGTGATAAGCTCATTTTATTTTCGTAGAATTTAGGAGATTATTCTTCGTGACCTGAAGATTTTGCGTGACTCGTGAAAAACTTGAATTATTCACCGATATTCGTGATTTCACCAGTCTATTCTACGTTATTTTGAGACGCGAGTCCTCCGAATGGTTAGAGTCGTCTATCGAGAGTGACTTACATGTAGACATGCGATTTGTAATATGGAGCCTTGACTTTCACGATTTTTCTTTCTTCAAAAACTCTTTCTAGTGTAAAAACAGGTTATTAAAAAGAGTATCTTACTTGCTTATTTTCGTGATTTGGGAAAACAAAATAATCCGTGATCCTCAATTTTTTCCGTTCGTGAACTGTGCCATAGACCCCCCTGTACAACCCTCTTCTTCAGCCTTGGTCGGTATGTTAATGAGTTCATCCAAACTATTTCTTTTTTCGAACGAAGCTCATTTAAACTCAGGTGTGAGATTGTCATTGGAATTTTACTGTGTTATAGTCGTCAAGCATGTTGCCTTCTTTACTGTTTGTGCAAAATTAACAATGGCATTCACATTTACCAGTTCACCTTTGAACTTTTACATTTCTGTTTCCGGATGTGGTTGTGGTTTTGGATTTAAACAAAAATATTGGCCAATCAACGGATTTGGTGAAAAAAAGGCACAGATCGGCGGATTTGTGCACCCCTATTCACTCCTCCTCTGAAAACAAATGGGACTACTGTATTTGTAACATGCTTGGTATTTATCAAGTTAATTTTTTGTGAAAAAATACTTTGTAGTCGTTGGGTTAGGAGTATAGGTGAATCTTTGTTTACACTTTTTGCCTCATTAACATATCCTTATTGCTATCTGATGACGCTAATAAAAGAAAAACTCTGAATATTGAAAAGGCATAACAGTTTCAGTTATCTCTGAAAATTTGAGCCCAATACATGGAATGGTTTCGGAGAAATTCTCTTCTAAAAACTCGAAATTTTACAGAGAAATGTATGGCTCATTAACTTTTTTGCCACACAGCAATTTRGCAATTTTTGATGGCTGATATTTCCTTCAATATTGCTTGCAAAGAGCTGAAAATTGCACAAATTGCTCAACTTAATCAACTTTTTCAACTTTTGCATTTAGTTCATATAAACAGCCACGGCGTCTATGAGTCAAGTCGTATGCTAATGAGGAAAAATGTAAACAGTGACGTCAGCAAAGATTCGCCTATATCATGAGTGGATGAGTGAGATATATATATATGTATGTCACACCAATCAGATTGGGGCTACTATGATTAACCAATCAAATTGCTGCTTTTGAATTGTTTGTGTGAAGATTTTATTCCAATTTGAGAACGGCCTTCTTTGTTTTCCTGTCTATAGGAGCAAGTATTCTTGAACTGACCTTATTCCTACATGTACAATTCCGATGCCACATTTACCGTGGTTATAAGCCCAGGACTTCGTGGGTGGATCTCAAAAGAGTTCTGAATTCGATAATCAGCCACGAAAACTCAGTCTTTGGCATACACTAGCTAGCATGTGAAAATTACATGCCAGAAGGTTTCAATCGTTTGCATTACGTGTAGTGTGTACATGTAGAATAAAGTCCAAGCCATTTATGCTTGTGCAAAATTATTTCTCTGCCGAAACCAAAGAAATTGCTGACAGCTAGCTATGAATGAGAAGACTGCTGGGTTTTGTAACTTGTTTTTGTTGCAAGTAAATGTAACAAGATACAACCCTAAGTTACAAATGGTTTAAGGTTTATGGTTAAATGTAGTTAAGACTGTTCAACAGCAGCAGCAGATACAACAACAATAACAACAACAACAACAACAACAACAACAAAACAAGTACAAATGAAAACTAACGCTGTTAGAAGGTTCTTTCGACGATTTGAATGCAACCTCCTCCCCAGGGCCTTTTCCACTTTTCAAACGGCGTTAAGGAGAAGGCCCTGGGAACAAGGCTGATTTAAATGTGGGCTTGTCATGGTCAGCAATATTAGGTCCATGTAAAATGTCCCAAATGTCTGTCTCGGAAAACGCATAGATTTTGTTTTAGTGGTGATGATCTTACGGAGGGACGTGATCACCAAAAGGCAATTTCTGAAAACAATTGACACTTTTGGTTTCCACACAGGAGTGGTTATTCCCATGGTTAGAATAAACAAACAGGAAACTAAACAATCAAGTGGCACATCCAGAAACTTCAACTTAATCATAAATGTTT